CTTGCCAAATTGTTTTGAGAACACTGAGAAGTTTTAGGGTAATCTACATTCTTTCTCAGGGTGCCTGGCCTTGGATGTGTTACAAACTGGTTCCAAGCTGCTCTGGTTTTTATCACCTGTCATTCCCCCTTCCCTATTTCCCATCACATACACACACAACTTTATTGCCCATCTATTCCCCCCATCCCTGCATTTTAGCTTTTGATGGCAGGATGCCTGTGAGGCGCTAAATCGAACCTGGCATTTACTTAAATATATAATTGTATTCATTAAAGCCCTTCATGGCATGGGATCATATTATCTGAGGAATTGCCTCATCTCTATTTCATCAACTCATCCCATCCCTTCCCACAAGGAAGGTATGTTGCAGACTCCATAAAGATAAAGTTTCCGGGGGCGGGGGGAAGGGGGGGGGGAGGAAGTTCGGACTGCATGAGGGGGGAGGTGGGGGGGGGGGGGGGGGGGGTGTCTAGGAAGACAGCCTTCTCTGTTTTTGTTCCCAGTCTATAGAGTATCTTGCTCCCAGAGTTGAGGCTGCCCCCATTCTGCACACAATCTCAAAGGGCTTCAAGACCTGGCTCTGACAACTGGCATGGAGGCTCGAAGAATGTCATACAACTTTGGGGCTGGCTGATGGCTTAAAGGCACTTCCTCTGCCTTGTAATTTTTAATGTTTTAACCTTGTTTTAATGTTTTTAACATCACTTATTTATTAAACACATTTATATGGCCACCCAACTCACACACAAGTAACTCTAGGCGACTTGCAACATTAAAAATCCACAACATAAAAACCCATAAAACCCTCACCCTACCTCCAAAAATGTTTACTATTGTATATTTTTATGATTTTTATTTGTAAACCAGCCCCTCAGGTAAAATAGCCATTGTAGAAATTTGATAAATTACTGTCAGTTTCACAGGTAGTCCTTGTTTAGTGACAACTGGGACCTGCAACTTGGTCATTAAGTGAAGCAGCCATTAAGTAAAACCACCTGTGCTTATGCTCTTACTTCAGCTTTTTTTTTTTTTTGCTTTATAAACCTGAAAACATTATATAAGTGAGGATTGGTTGCAAATTTAGTTTGTAATCACCATCATAATTGTGAATAGTTACTAAATGAGGTAGTCACTAAATGAGGACTGCCTGCATTACTTTTACATCTATTATGATGTATGAGACTCTCATCCCCCTTTTTTTGACTAACTTATTTTAATCACAAGACTTTCCCATCACTGTAAGAGGGAGATGGTATTCCGATGTTCTATTATATTAGCTTCCTTGTACAATTATCTACTTTACCCTTTTTGTCTTAACCATCTGTTGTAAACCATCTTTAACACCTTAAGAAGAAAATGGCCTTTCATCGCCTCCAATTCTATCTCACCTCCGATATATTCAATAACAGAGCTCCTAGCACTGCGAGATTCCCCCCTCTCGCAAGTTTGGCCCTCCCAGTTATCTAGGGCCGCCCTCGAGGACGGGTTTTGGAACCCCGAGAGGTGGTATGCTAAGAACCAGAAGCTTTGGGGTTTTTTAGATAGTTTTTCAAATTCTATTTTAAGGGGATCTGGGAGGAGGGTGGTTTCCAATGTAAATAATGAGGCTGGGGGGCCTCCCGGGAGGGGGGTGGGTTGTATGGGTTCAGGGATTAACCCGCGAGGGACGGGATCTAGTCCATCTGAAGAGCACGGCGGAGGAGATGCAGAATCCGGGGCCAAGGAGAGGGTTAGAGCTTGTGCTGTTGATAGACATTACATCAGTACTGTAGGTGGGAGGGGCAGATATGGCGGAAGTAGGGGGCCACATCAAGTTGCGGGAGTGCGCGCTCGCTGTCTTCAAGCGGTGGCACGCTCTGGCCCCCAATGCTCTTCTCGTTCCCCAGGTGGCACAGACCCTCAGGCCCTGGGCCTTCAGCTGATGCTATGCAATGCCAGGTCCATGGTAAATAAAGCCCCCCTCATTTGTGATCTTGTTCAGGAGGGGGAAGCGGACCTGGTGGGTATTACGGAAACCTGGTTGGGCCAGGAGGGGGGAGTCCCTCTCGTAGAGATGTGCCCACCCGGTTTCCGGGCATTTCATCAGCCAAGGTCACAGGGAAGGGGCAGGGGGGTGGCAGTTATCATTAAAGATGCCTTGGTCTTGGTCCGAGGGAGGCCACTGTTCCTCAGACGGCCGGATGTGAGTCCCTCCTTGTGAAGTGGGGTCATGGGGTGCAGATGGGCCTGATGGTTACGTACCTGGCTCCCTGCCACGTGGCAGCGGCCTTGCCTGAGCTACTCAACGTTATAGCCGCGGTGGCGATTGATACCCCTAGGCTTATGGTCATGGGGGACTTCAACCTGCCATCCGTCGGTGAGGCGTCTGAGGTGGCTCAGGAGTTCATGGCTTCCATGACGGCCATGGACCTGACCCAATTAGTTTATGGCCCTACTCACACGGGGGGAAACACGTTGGACCTGGGTTTTGTCTCTGGTCAGTGGCTGAGTGGTCTCGAGATAGGGGATATAGCGATCGAGCCCTTGTCATGGTCAGATCACTCCCTCCTTCGCTTTCACCTTCGAACCGCCACACCCCACCGCAGGGAGGCGGAACCGATGAGGTGGTTCCGCCCCAGGCGCCTGATGGACCCGGATAGGTTCCAGACGGAGCTTGGGCCATTTCCTGAGGCTCTGGCACACGGCTCGACTGAAGACCTAGTGGCTGCCTGGGATAGGGCGGCCGCTGGAGCTTTGGACCGGGTCGTGCCTTTGCGGCCTCTAAACCGGCGTCGATCTCACCTGGCTCCCTGGTTCACCAAGGAGCTGAGGGAGATGAAACGCCAGAAAAGACGCCTGGAGAGCAGTTGGAGGGCCAGCCGTTCTGAATCTGACCGAACACTGGTAAGGTCTCATATTAAGACCTACCTGGTGGCAACAAAAGCGGCAAAGTGTAACTATTTTTCCGCTCTTATTGCGTCATCAGATAATCGCCCGGCCGCCCTGTTTAGGGTGACCCGCTCCCTGCTCCACCAGGAAACGCGGGAGGACCCCTTGGAGGGTAGAGCCGAGGACTTTGTACAATATCTGTATGACAAAATCGCTCAGATTCGGGAAAATTTGGACTCTGACTGGGTAGATTCGGGAGGGAGGATGGAGGCAAGTCTTGAGAATATTACCTGGGAAGAGTTTGATTCTGTGACTCCGGAAAACGTGGACAAGATACTGGGCAGACTGAGCGCGGCCACATGTTTATTGGACCCGTGTCCCTCCTGGTTGGTGCTGGCCTCTCGGGAGGTTACACGAGGCTGGCTCCAGGGGATTATAAATGCTTCCTTGAGAGAGGGTGCCTTCCCCGCTGCCTTGAAAGAGGCGGTGGTGAAGCCTCTCCTCAAGAAGCCTTCCCTGGACCCAGCAGTGTTGGCTAATTACCGTCCAGTCTCCAACCTTCGCTTCGTTGCGAAAGTTGTTGAGAGTGCGGTAGCATGACAGCTTCCTCAGTACTTGGATGAATCGACTTATCTAGATCCGTTCCAGTCGGGCTTCAGGCCTGGATACAGCACGGAAACGGCATTGGTCGCATTGGTAGATGATCTCTGGAGGGCCCGGGACAGGGGTTGCTCCTCTGTCCTGGTCCTATTAGACCTCTCAGCAGCTTTTGATACCATCGACCATGGTATCATGCTGCACCGGTTGGAAGAGTTAGGGGTGGGGGGCACCGTGTTGCGGTGGTTCTCCTCCTTTCTCTCTGATCGGTCGCAGTCTGTGTTGACAGGGGGGCAGAGGTCGACCCCGAGGCCCCTTGTATGTGGGGTGCCACAGGGATCTGTTCTCTCACCCCTTCTGTTCAACATTTATGTGAAGCCGCTGGGTGAGATCATCCGTGGTTTTGGGGTGAAGTATCATCAGTATGCTGATGATACTCAACTATACATCTCCACCCCGGACCACCCCAATGATGCCCTTAAAGTGATGTCCCAGTGCCTGGAGGCTGTACGGATCTGGATGGGGAGGAACAGACTCAGGCTCAACCCATCCAAGACCGAGTGGCTGTGGTTTCCGACGTCCCGATATAGTCAGTTGGTGCCATCACTGACTATTGGGGGTGAATCATTGCCCCCCACGGAGAGGGTTCGCAACTTAGGCGTCCTCTTGGACTCACGGCTGTCTTTAGAAGAAAACTTGACGGCTGTGGCCGGGAGGTCTTTTTATCAGGTTCGCCTGATTCGCCAGTTGCGTCCCTTTCTGGATCGGGACTCAAATACGGTCACTCATGCGCTCGTTACTTCACGCCTGGACTACTGTAATGCTCTCTACATGGGGCTCCCCTTGAGGAGCACCCGGAGGCTCCAGCTGGTCCAGAATGCGGCCGCGCGGGTAGTTATGGGAGCAGCATGGCGCTCCCATGTGGCTCCCCTCCTGCGCGAGCTGCACTGGCTTCCTGTGGTCTTCCGGGTGCGCTTCAAGGTCTTAGTTACCACCTTTAGAGTGCTCCATGGCTTAGGACCGGGGTACTTACGAGACCGCCTTCTGCCACCAATAGCCTCTCACCGCCCAGTACGCTCCCATAGAGAGGGGCTTCTCAGGGTGCCGTCAGCCAAACATTGTCGACTGGCGGCCCCCAGGGGGAGAGCCTTTTCTGTGGGGGCACCCACCATCTGGAACGAGCTCCCCACAGAGATACAGAAGATTCCGGATCTGCGCACTTTCCGCCGTGCCCTCAAAACATTCCTGTTTCAGCAGGCCGGCCTGGCCTAACTTTCCCTTTATATTGCTTTTGATTTTATTTTAAACTGGGATGTCTTGAATTATCTAGGACCAGAGTGTTTAGTATATTTTAATTGGTTTTTTTAATTAACGTTTGTATTACATGTATTTTTTATCGTTCGCTGTTCACCGCCCTGAGTCCCTCAGGAATAGGGCAGTATATAAATTTAATAAATAAATAAATAAATAAATAAATAAATAAATAAATAAATAAATAAATATTAGCTGAATTTAACTAAATACACAACGTGGTCCTTGATTAAAAAAAAACTTTTATTGGAAAATTGAACCCCAAAGTGTGGATTTCTGGTCTACATAAGAAACTTGGATAGATCTTCCTTGATTTCAGCTTCATCCCAAGGCCCATGGATATTGTCTTTGAAGAGTTGCAGCCTAATGAGGCAGTAAGGGCACAAACATGAGATGGCAATCAAAAGGAGGGCAAAAAGAACAGTGCCAACACTGGAAATGGTTAGTAGTCCCATTAAGGCAGATAAAGCAAAGAGTAAGGTAGCTATCATGTAACAATGGGGGGTTTGAGCTTTGAGCTTCTTCTGTAGCATAGGCCATAGGGCAAATATCTGGATAGCAAATGTCACCATGACAAAGGCATGTAAGGACCGTGGCAACCATGAGGCTAAGCAGACTGAAGCAAAGATAGCCATGTTGAGGGACAGTGTACTGGACACAATAGCTGCATTTGCCCCATAATCATAAAAGATCAGATGTCCTAGGAGCATGAGGGCAGACATAGCATAAATTGCATCAGTGCTGATAGACTCAGTTAAGGTCTTCAGAATAGGAGAGAAGCCATAGGTGAATGCCACAAATACCACAGAATTCTTCAGATCTCCCCATCGTGTCTGCCCGCTTTGATTTCTTTCTATTCCTGAAGCAGTGGCATCAAAGAGTACATAACCAATCAGGGAAGCGATCAAGCCAACTCCAAACTGCCACTGGGGAGCCAACAGGCCCATATCCATGTACCACCAGATGACCACGAAGACACAGACGCTACATAGTTGTTGTATCACCACTCCAGATTCAAACACCACTGCCCAGTACTGATACTTGCGTGCATGGATATTCTTGCACAACTTCTCTAAGAAACTTTGATCCACATAGTTATCAGGAAATGACTGCCTCTTGTACAACACTTTCTGCCAACGTTGCCTTATGGTATGTTCCAGTTGGACACAGAGTATATTTCTCGCCATTGCCTCATAGTTCTTCACAATATCATGTTATGATGGAGTTCATATTATCTAGAAACAAAATAATTTACCAGTGGCTTGGTAGATAATCGGTCACCACATATATAAACAATTTCCAACAATTTAATCAATAAAAAATGTCATCACTGAGGGTCGATGGTTTGGTTATACATAACACTTGGTACTCATAAGGCAGAACAGAAAGAAAAAAATGCACGGCTCTTTGGAATTAAGAGAAACCAAAATGGCTTACATCTTTCTACAAAACTGAATATCTGCTACATTGAGGGGGCTACAAAGAACAGAGAAGAGACAAGCTTTACTGTTACACAACTTCAATCTTATTTGAAATTGTGTTATTTTCTGGCTGTGAAAAATTCCTTTGACAACCACTATCAATGTTTGTAAGACTGGTAATTTAGTGCACAAACACTGCACTTCTTACTTATGTGTTTCCATTTTATGAACAGTTGTTCCCAACCTATTCTAAGGGATTTGTGATCCCAATTCACTTTACCAATACTAGATTAAGGAAGGCTATTTTAGAAGTACTATGCCCTTTGTGCAACTAATAAAGGTGGGATAAAAGTAATACATTTAGCAAGTTGCTCTTCCTGTTAGTCTGATTCTACAGTTTCTCTGCCATCATCCCCACCCCCTCAAATCTGTAACTGTGATAAGAGTTCATTTTCTGAAATATTTGAGCGGAGGGTTCTTACTATGCGTCATTCCGTAAACATTACAAAACTAATTTGTGCAGCAAGATTAACTTCTGTTGGTACACAATGAATACTCCAGTACCAACGTAAGGCATAATTTGCCTTTTGAGAAAGGCAGTCCTTAGACTGCAAACAAGATAGATGGGAAACCCTGGAATAAAGAGGGGCCGTTGTGGTGCAAGGTTTCACTCCAGTTTCCGGGCTGGAGTTGCGCCCCTGCTGCCCCCTCTAGTGATTTTACTTTCTGAACGAATGCACTTTCGTTCTCTCCATCTTGAAATAATTATGCTGTCATTTTTCTGTAGTCAATACTGGAGATCCCAGCTATCGTAACGAACCAGAACGGAAAAAGGAGCTTCTTAAATAAATAAATAAATAATAAAAAAACCGACCCTCCCTTACCTTGGCTAGAATTGTGTATGTTGGAAAAAGGAAATTCTGCTGCGACGACACATCCGGCTGGGGAATAGACATTGGATTCGTGTTGCCCTCTGCTGGCCAATTTATGATCAAAACGCTTGCAAGCCGTTTATTACCTGATTTGCTGCTCGCAAGTCCTTTTAGCAATCCAATACGGAAGTTACGTCTGCTGGAGAGGGTTGTAAACATATTTGAATATAAAAGGGATTGCGTGTTGTGAGGCATGACAGACCTGAATATATACTTGCTTGGGTGTACGTTTATTTGCCCCCAAAGCAAATCAACCCAACCCAACAGAACCGTGGGCAAGATGGGCATTCAGTGATGACTCCAAATTGAAACCGACTCTCTCCTAAAGCCTGGTCCTTAAAGCATACTTTGGCATAAACAAATATACCTCAGAAGGTACTATAGTATTCTGACTGAGGATTGCGGATATATACAAAACATGGGCTGTAGCTGCTATTTGGGTGAGGAGAAGCAGGAGGGTAGCTGGAGGGAGGGAGACAGTGAGGATCCAGTAAATGAGATTTGAGGAAGCAGGTGTCAAAATATTTGAACCAGGTTTCAGGCTGTATCAGCATTCAGCGCTCTGTAGCAGTTCTCAAGAAAGAAGACTCCAGTTGGACATTTTGGAATGGAATATACTTCTAACTGAACAAACTTGTTTCTGTTAAATCATGTCCTGCAGCAATCAGAATATTTATTGGGTGAGCTTCTTTTGCATAATCAAGATAATCTTTGCATAAATATGTGTGCTACAGAGGCTACAATTTTAAACATACTTTATAGAAAGTATAACATTTACTTCTGAGTTTACATAATGATGAATTTACATCAGAAATTTCAACAGAGAATATGCTATGGGAAATGTCAAATCTACTGTTATTAACAGGACTCCTTTTATTGTGGAGTAGATTAGGATCTTTAAATCTAAGTATGTGAGTTGTGAAAAATCTGGGGAAAAATAAGATTTATGTTTTTCAGTTTATTGCTGAACAGAGGCAACAAGGTTCCTCCCTGTTCTCCCATCTCAAACAAATGGCTTAAACTATCTCAATCAACAGCAGCTACTACTGAAACTTTTCCAGTGCTCTGGAGAACTGAGGATAAAACCTGGTTTGAATTTAACTTAAATTGAAAATATCAGCTGCCAGATGTCTTATCAAAGGCTGTATTTGTAAAATTCCAACTGTGGTACTTTTAAAGAAGAAAACTGACATGCTGGATGACAACTCATAGGGACATAGACTAACTGATGACAGGGATTTCAAAGTCCATTTGCTCCAGCAGATAAAATCGCAATTCCTTCAAGTTACTACATCATACTAGGTCTGCACTATGATCCCATAAAATTAAAAAATGTGGGATGAATAATAGTTTTGTGTATGTATAATTTAATGAACAGCCCTGGCAGCAGTATACATATAAAGAATCAAGAATTCTAGTAGTGATGAAAGACAAACATAGTAAATCCAAATAACCCAAATTCTTCATCTAGCGCAAGGACAGCAACCTAAAGTCTATATATAATGTATGAATTATATCTCTGGCTACTGAACAACCCTGACCACAATGACACCATTTCCCACTGCTTTAAAGCTGAAAGAGGTAGATTGCAGCTATATTATGAAAGAGAATTAATACAGTTGTTAAGCTGGGGTTAAATGAAGAGGCAGGACTCAGCTCAGTAACTACAGCTCTTTATTTGAAGCGGGTACAGCAAAAACTTGCTTGTCTCTCCGACAGCTCCCTCTTTTAAAGGGAGCTGTCCAGCAATCCAGCCACTGAGGTTGCTTGGTTTTCCCGCTGCTCGCTGTGGCCAATGATTTTAAACTGCGGCTTTTACCACCTGGGAGGTGGACCTGAGTGAAGCCTTTGCCCAAGGCTTCATTCCTTAAGTACATATTCAACACCCCTCGCCTCTGGAAAGGATGTTATTCAATCAGAGAAACTCAACTGACGTAGTCACACAGGTAGGCTGGGTGTTGCTGGGTGCGACTTGATCTGCGCAGCTCAGTTGGAGCAGCGGCAGCAGCCTGGGCAGTCAAGTCTGCTGCCACTCCGGAGTCAGCCAATGGAAACGCCTGGAAATTCTCCTGGGCCGTGGCTGACTCCGCTGGGGTCGACTCCCCCAGAACGTTTCGCTGGATTCTTGGTTCCTCAGGTGGGTGTATCCGTTGCCTATTCGGATTTGAGTCTAATGTGTGTGGATCCTCAAATTGTAGGTCTGCTTCTAGGGGTGTTTTGGTTGTTGTTTGGGTAGGATTTCCTTCTGGTTGCCTGAGGGTAGAGTTCCCTATGCGGGCCTGGAGTTGATCTATGTGTCTTCTCCATATTTTCCCTTCTTCTAGCTCCACTCGGTAAGAGTAGGGGCTGGTAATCGTGAATATTTTGGCAGGGACCCAGGAGGGACCACCAGCATAGTTATGGGCATCTACTAGGTCCCCTATGCTAAATGACCATTGCTGGCTGGTCGAATCGGTGGATACCTCAGCATTATAAGTCTAGTTGTGATCTTAGTTTGCGGCCCATTAGTAATTCTGCCAGGCTCTGATTGGTGGTGGTGCTAGGTGTTATGTGCTGTAGTAGGAGAAACTTGTCTATTTTAGCCTACCAGTCTCCGGGGCCCATTTTAGCTAGTGCTTCTTTGGTTGACCACACCATTCTTTCCGTTTGATCATTGGTCAATGGATGGAATGGCATGACAAGAGCATTTCGGATTCCATGTTCTGCTAGGAATATCTCAAATTGCTTTGCTGTGAATTGGGCCCCATTGTCGGAGACCAGGACATCTGGTAGGCCATGGGTGGAGAAAGGTCCCCGTAATACCTTCATGACCAATTTGGCCATTGTTGTGGTCATAAGTATTACCCCAAGCCATTTTGAACATGCAACTACAACTGTTAGAAATGTTTGACCCTGGACTGGTCCTGCGAAATCAATGTGTACTCGTGACTAGGGTGCTTTGGGGATCTCCCGTTCTCTCGTGGATGCCATGGGTGGTGCTGGTCTGGATTCTTGGCATGGGATATAAGTAGCGACCCATTCCGTTATGTCCCTATCCATATTCGGCCACCAATAGCTCCTGGCCAATGCCTTCATTCGGACAATGCCAGGGAGCCCCAGGTGTTGTGCCTCTAGCACTTGCCTCCTTAGTTTATAGGGTACAACCACTTGATCCTCCCACAATAGGCATCCCTTTTGAGCTGACAATTCCTGTTGCCATGCTGGAAACGGTTTGAAATCAACCTCCACCGGCCCCTCAGAGCACCCCCTCCACACCCAGTTCAGAACCTGTGACAGAGTTTTGTCTTTTGCTGAGTGTCCTGCTATCTCGGCTGATGTGACAGGGCCGGATATAAAGTCCTCAATGAGCAGTATGGGTGCAATGAGCAGGATCCTCTACGAGGTCTGGGAATGGGCAGTGGCTGAGGGCATTGGTGTGACCAATGTAAAGCAACCCAGCTGTGTGTGAGCCCATAACTATATGCAGCCATGAAGATTGCCCATCTAGTCATTTGCAGGGATAAATTTTCAGTGTGGGGTGGTCCCCCGCGAGAATGCCAAGAAGCAGTTGTGTAATTATTTCAAAGTCCCTCCCATATAAGTATTCATGGAACCACTTGATCCCTGCCATGGCAGCCAGTGCCTCCTTGCCCAGTTGGCTGTATTTTCATTCCGCTGCTAATAGTGTCTTAGAGTAAAATGCAATCGGGGCCTCAGCCCCATTTGGCATCTGGTGGCTGATGACAGCCCTGATGCCAAACGGGAAGGTGTCACAGGTTAAGATGAGGTGCAGAGTCTCATTATATTGTACAAGAATGCTATCGGATGACAATAGTTTCTTAACAGAGAAGGCAGAGGATTCCTTCCGTCCCCAGATCCACTTCGCCTTCTTGACTAGCAATCGGTGTAGCGGCTCAGCTACTGTCACCTTCTGTGGCAGAAAAATACTATAAAAGTTTAACAGCCCTAGAAATGCCTGGAGTTCTGTCTGATTCTTTGGGGGTGGGGGCTTCCTGTATGGCTTTAACTTTGCTTTTGGTTGGGTATATTCCCAAGCTATCAATTAAATATCCTAGAAATTCGACTTGCGGCACAGCTATCTGACATTTTTCTTTTTAAACTTTAAATCCAGCTTTTTGAAACCAACTCAAGACTCTCTTTAGTCGGTAGATGAGTTCTTCTTTGTTGTCTGCGGACATGAGGACATCATCAAAGTAAGGCATCACCTCCGGGATGCCCTGTAGGAGGTGTTCCATTATACTTTGAAAGAGTCCTGGTACCACACTTACATCAAATTGCAACCGGCGGCATTTAAATGCCCTTCTATGTGTAACAATAGTTTGTGCTTCTGTGGTGGCACAATTGTCATGTATGACCCCGTGTCCACTTCCATGTCACAGGGAAACCCCTCGATTAGAATCATGACATGGATCTTCTTTGAGTGGTGTGCCTTAGAATGCTCAATGATCATTTGGTGTGTTTCTCTTGCTTCTGTGGCTTGACTTTCTCTTCTCTTGGGCTTTGGAAACTGTGCTTTTCGAAATCCCAGTTGGGATGTAGGCTGCCCTGCAGGCTGCCACTGGCAGTACAAGGCAGGTTGGTTGGTGCAGCAAACCCTTGCTATGTGTCCCTTCCGCTTGCATCTTTAGCAAATAGCATCCTGGAAACAGCAGCCCACTCTGGGATGATTGCCCCAGCATCTGGCACAAAACGGAAGTTTTTCTCCTGGCTCTGGGATTTCCCTCTTTCTTTCGAATCATAGGCGATGGATTTCATTGTCCTCATCTGTGGAGTCTTCAGGCTCCATGCTGTCCTGATGCACGGTAGCCGTTCCTTGCAAAGGCTGTGGATTCCATGTTTTTTGGATTGTCACTGCTGACTTATTGGAGGCTTTGGTTGCTCTGGCTTCCTCAAGCACCGTTTTAAATGTGAGATTAGGCTTCGCTAGTAATCTTCTCTGTAGATTGATATCCCTCAATCCCATGATATCCCTCAATCCCTATCATCACTTCCTCTATATTGCTGAATTAG